TGCGTGCCCTGTCAGACGTCATAAAAACGTACTGCAAAGAATTGGAACTCTTGAAGTACCGATTCACGCTTTTCTCAGAAATCAAAAAGATAAATCTGTACGTAAAGTCATCTTGGAGTTTTTGAAAAACCAAGAGAAAAAGAACTTTGACAAAAATATACTAGACACAACAGCAGAATAAGGGCATAGTTGCACTGAGTTTGGGGAGTAGGTGCCTGGTTGCACTTGCGAAAAGCTTGGCGAATGAAAAATATGTCAAATTGAAAAAATTAATAAGCATCTTGCAATTCATAAAACTTAGGCGTTATATAGTATTTACACATAGGCCAACCAAGCCAACTTTCAGGCATTAAAATACGTTTTAAGGATACTGCACGCCACAGCGCAAACACAAGTTGCGGCGAGCGTTTTCGGTTTCCCCGCCGGCCTGTGCACAGCGGTTTGCGGAGCGAGTAGTGCAACTAGGCTCCCGGAATCAAGCCGACACGGAATTTTTGTAATATTTTTTGTCACAACATAATCACTCACCAGGCGTACTGAGTCTACATTCCGCCGCATGACAGATTTGAAATATGTTTTGCCAGTTCTGCAAAACACTGAAACCGACAAAAATTTCACGCGAAATAAAGTGAAAGATAATTACACGCCTAGAATGAAACGGAATTTGGGCACATTTGAAGTTCATTAAAATTCCGACAGTTGGCCGTGTGACAGATTTGACCGGGTATACAAAGCAGCTCACATGGAACAAGTGTTCTGTACCAACGGCAAGTTCTGTACCAACTGTAAGGTACAGTATGTTTATCAAGTCGATACGGATTTCTGACTTGAGTTAAGGAACGAGAAATTTGGGCAGCAAAGTAGATTGGCAGAATCCCGACGGAAGATTGTGAGATGAATTCAACAAGAAATAGGAAGCATCTCCCTTCAAGGACCAAAAAAAAAAAAAAAAAAAAAAGGGAATTTGTATCACCTTATAGGTAAGATAGTATAGAGTTCTTGATTGGGACAGATACCACACGTATTTCCGATGATGCGAACTGGATTTAGTGGAGGGAATATGGACAGGCGTGAGTGGTGGAGTAAAGCAAAAAGCACCAGCCTTCTCGATGGCGTTTCAGGAGATGTGTTGATTGATCAATCAACAGCGACGAATAGAGGATGTGATGAGGAGACTGCAGGGATAGTGTGAGGCAGGACAGGGGAGTATGAGAACAAGGGTATAAATACTAGAGACTATGGCTGAAAGGATTATCTGAGCAGAGAGGCAAAAGGATAATTGCGGCAGAGTTTGTTGCATGCCATGGACAATACGTGTATTCTGTCAAAGTAGAACTTCGCACGATTTTGTCTGATATTGCAAGTCTCTCTCTCTCTCTCTCTCTCTCTCTCTCTCTCTCTCTCTCTCTCTCTCTCTCTCTCTCTCTCGCTCTCTCTCTCTCTCTCTCTCATGGGGACTCGTCATCAACTTTGAGCTCGATCTCGATCAAAGCTATGAATATGTTTCCCTATTCATCAAACTTGCGTCACGAGGACAAACCTTCTGCTGAAGCATGGAGAATACTGTTGTATCCCGTAACTGCTCTCATCCGTGCCCCACATGCAACGCGTTCCACGCCTGAGTCAGTTGCCCCCTTTCGCCCCTTACTCCTCGCGCCCTGCGTCGTTGGTCTTTCCTGTTCACCTCTCTCTCTCTCTCTCTCTCTCTCTCTCTCTCTCTCTCTCTCTCTCTCTCTCTCTCTCTCTCTCTCTCTCTCTCTCTCACCCTCCCTCACCGAATCTCTCCTTGCTTTCGCCTTGCTTTCGCCTATTTGTTTAGGGCTGCTACTACATTTTTTGCAGGGGTGCTATGTCTCAAGTGCGACAGGATTTTGCACGGCCGCTATCGGAAGGAGTAGGCGTGGATTTTGCCGTGAATGCGGAGAGGCAGGGAGAGAAGGAACACTAGGGGGAGGTTGAGTGCCTGGTCAAGCAGGGAAGAGAAGGTCGTCATGGAAATCTTGAGAGCTGGACTAGTGGGCTGGAGGAGCAGGATAGAGGGTAAAGATTTTGTCTATCAGGATGGGATGTGACGAGAGAGGAAGCAGAAGGAGAGTCACGGGGACAGGGTGAAGCTTTCAAAGTAAGTTCACTGCTGTTGAGATTGTGGACGGAGAAGACATTGATGAGGAACCTAAAGTGAATCGGAGGACGATGTAGGTTGGGGACCAAATTTGCGAAGAATGGGATGCGCAAAGTGGATTGGGAGGGGACGATGAGGATGTCGGATCGAGAGGAGGAGAAAAGGTTGAAATGCCGGGCAATCAGGGAGAGAATGTAGGGACCGATGAAGTGAAGGAGAAATGATGCCAAGGCAGGCAGCCAGACAGATTCGCATATAGTTTGAAGTCATTATAATGAATCACAAAGTTTTATCCTACTTAAACGAGGGAGAAAGGGTTCCATAAAAAGTATATTGGATTCACCCTCGAGCACAAATCCGCATGCAGCATTTGTATGC